AACAAATGAAGCAAATAAATAAATAAATAAATAAATTTAACATTCAGGCTGAAATCCAGAATGGATTAACTGCTTCACTGATCTGGAAGCCAAAAGCCTCAATGAGCAGAAACAGGATTCTGGTTCACCGCTACACTTCAGAAAATGACAACAAACGCCCCAAAAAGCCTTTTGGAAATGCTCTCTGTATTTAGCCATATTGCTCACTAATGCTGGATGTACACTGCCCTATATCTCAGGATCCGATTCCAGATTATCTGATTTGAACTGGATTATATGAGTCTAAACTGCCAGAAAATCTGGGAATAGCAGATAATGTAATATAATATATTGTATATACATATAATATTTATAATATTATAATGTAATACAATATAATACTACTATTATGATATTATAATTATATATTTTATATTACATGTAATATAACTAATAATATTACAATATAAAGGTATAGTACAATATAATAATATATAATGCTGATATTGTACTATAGCAATGTTTAATGCTGATATTGTACTATGCTAATAATATAATATATTGTATGTAATATATACCTTGTAAGCTGCTCTGAGTCCCCTTCGGGGTGAGAAGGGCGGCATATAAATGTTGTAAATAAATAAATAAATAAAATACTATGCTAATAATATAATATATTGTATGTATATATATCTTGTAAGCCTCTCTGAGTCCCCTTCCGGGTGAAAGGGGCAGCGTATAAATATCGCAAATAAATAAATAATCTGGGATCAGATCCTGGGATATAAGGCAGTGTAGATCCAGCCTAAATGTGCTTGGCTAAATCAGTGTTTCTTCCCCATAAACACTTTACAGAAAATCCTCATATTTCCTAAATATGGTTTCTCTGACATCAGTCTCTTGAATATCCAGTTGAAACTATGTCCCATAACAGCACAGTACAGAGACATATTTAAAAACAAAAGAACAACGCATTCACTTTCAGCAAGGCTAGCCCAAAGTGATTTTTTTAAAGGTAGGTTTTTCACATTTTATCAATCACCGGTCACAAACTCAGTTGTCTTTCCCAGGGCTTGGACAAGGTTCCTAGATATATTCATTATATGGATGAAGAAGAGACTATTAGGAGGGAAAATGTGTGAGTAATAGAATAAGGAGATTTTCATGTGGACCAAAAAAAGCTTTCCTGTAGTAACTGGCTCTTGGGGAGGAGATATCATGATAGAGAAATATGTCTCAAGCATAGCAACAACAGGGTAGAAGACATATATGAGTATGAGGCAGAATCAAAAAGACAGCCAAGGGGTAGTTGCGAAGGAGGACAAGGGTCCTGCACCTTTAGTTATTGCATCTCCTCTTCCACACAGCTATTGAAGGTACAGGAGCCTTGAACTTATTTTGCATCTGCCCACTCTAAAGATAGCCAAGGGCACTGTGTACACAGAGCATTGAAAGGAAGAAGAGAAGAGAGAGATTTGGTAGTGAAGACCTTTCTAAAGGAGCTACAGAGAAGGGCAGTGACACATGCTGTACACATCTTACAAGCACAGAATCAGAAGGCCTGAAAGATAAGGAGGTTGGATCCAAGAAGAAAAGAAAATCATTTAAACTTTGAAGTCATTAAAACATCCCGACACAGTTGAGTCCAGCTGTTGTTCTTTGATGTCAACGTTCGTACATTTATGGAGCTCACTACCACATGGCTGAGTGAAGAGCCAAGCTTAGATGGCTTTCCAAGAGGTTGCATGAATTTGCAGAGGGCAAACGTCTGATGCTTGTAGGTTGTTAGTCACAGAACACGTAGCCATACTGACTGAAATATTCTGGGATCACAAAACAACATAATCCAGTGCTTCTCAACCTTCCTAATGCCGTAACCCCTTAATACAGTCCCTCATGTTGTGGTGACCTCCAACCATGAAATTCTTTTTGTTGCTACGTCATAACTGTAATTTTGCTACTGATAGGAATCACAATGTAAATATCTGATATGAAGGATGTATTATCATTCACTGGACCAAATTTGGCAGAAATACCCAATACACCCAAATTTGAATACTGGTGGGGTGGGGATTGATTTTGGGAATTGTTGTTGATGGGATTTATAGTTAACCTACAATCAAAGAGCATTCTGAACTCCACCAATGGTGGAATTAAACCAAACTTGGCACACAGTTCTCCCATGACCAACAGAAAATACTAGAAGGGTTTGGTGGGCATTGACCTTGAGTTTTGGAGTTGTAGTTCACCTACATCCAGAGAGCGCTGTGGACTCAAACAATGATGGATCTGGACCAAACTTGGCACAAATACTCAATATGCCTGTGAACACTGGTGGAGTTTGGGGAAAATAGACCTTGACATTTGGGAGTTGTAGTTGCGGGGATTTATAGTTCACCTACAATCAAAGAGCATTCTGAACCCCACCAATGATAGAATTGGGCCAAACTTCCCACACAGAACCCCACGACCAACAGAAAATACTGTGTTTTCTGATGGTCTTTGGTGACCCCTCTGACACTCCCTTGCAACCCCCAGGGACCCTGACCCCCAGGTTGAGAAACACTGACATAATATCTGGGAAAACACAATAATGAATGGCAAAGCAGTGGGGGGGGAGGGATAGCATTAAAATTGGTTCAAGCAATGAAGCCACAGTTTGATTCTGCAAGATATAAGCAAGGCAGTTGATAACCAGAGCTCTTGGAAGTTCTCAATCATACAGCCAGTAGAATTCAAAGTTGACTTGGTGGTAAACAAAATGAAAATACCTCAAGAATATTATGAATGAAAAGAGGACACACAAGACTAGACTATCCCTTGGATGTTTAGAGAACATTAGACAAATATGTTCCAGTGAAACAGCTTTTTGTTTCCTAAGAAGCACCTGAAGAACTGCAGGCTCTTTTCTGCATCCCTGCCCAGCCTGTTCTGGGCTTTGGTTTCTGGCTGGCGGCCAGCTTCGGAAAGAAAAGGGCAGGAGAGATAAAGGAAGGCCTCTCACCTTATCAGATTGCTGCCAGAACAAGGATACATTTCCCCTGGGCTTGGCCAGTAATGGTCGGGTTGGCTGTGCCAGAAAAGCATGGTTGGTGGTGGATTCCCCAAAAGATGGACCACAAGAATGTCAGGAGCAAACACAGATAGGAAAGGTCTCCACCCTGTAGCAGTGGGCTGCTCCTCTGGACTAGAAACACTATCTCTTTTCTTTTTATGTACCTGATAGCCAGGTAGGTGTGTTCAAAGAGAGACATTATCTGATTGGCCATGGGTGAGATGCTTTGGATAACAACTTTTTACAACTTTGCCTTTCCTCCGGTTGACCAGAGGTATGAATAGCTCTGGCCACACCACCTGTCTTTTTCCTGGAGCCAAGGAGGCTGAAGGCAGTGCTTTACCCATAACTTCATTAAAAAGCAACATGGGTGACTGTACTGAAAAGGAGAAACAGACGTGTGAACAAGCCCAAGCAGGTAAAGGCAGCTGGTAGATGAAAACCAATACTAATAAAATGGTCGTTTTGAGTCTATGATTTTTACAGACACTTATCTGTAATTTCTAAATGTGTCATACTTAAAAAAAAATCTTATCACAAGAATATATAGAAGTTCGAGGGAAAAAATCCACTTAAAGGAGAAATAGCCCCATAGGTTTTCATGCTCTACCAGTTTTAAAAATGTGCATTTTCCCCAACACCACCCATTGATCTGTCACTTGTTATCGCACGCCTTTAAGCCATTTCTGATTTATGGCACCCCTACATGGGATTTTCTTGGCACAATTTGTTCAGTGGGGATTTACTTGTGTCTCCTTTGAGGCTGAGAAGGTGTGACTTGCTCAAAGTCACCCTGTGGGTATCTATGACCAAGAAGAAATTCAAACCCTGGTCTCTAGTAATTATTATAATTGAATAAAATTTATTTATTTATTTATTTATTTATTTATTTATTTATTTATAACATTTATATTCTGCCCTCCTCACCCCGAAGGGGACTCAGGGCGGAGCACAGCATATACACGGCAAACATTCAGTGCCGGGACACAGATTCACATACCATACATCAGTGTTTCTCAACCTGGGGGTCAGGACCCCTGGGGGAGTCGCGAGGGGGTGTCAGAGGCGTCGCCAAAGACCGTTAGAAAACACAGTATATTCTGTTGGTCATGGAGGTTCGGTGTGGAAAGTTTGGCTGAATTGTATCATTGGTGGGCTTCAGAATGCTCTTCGATTGTAGGTTAACTATAAATTCCAGCAACTACAACTCCCTAATGTCAAGGTCTATTTCCCCCAAACTCCACCAGTGTTCACATTTGGGCATATTAAGTATTCATGCCACGTTTGGTCCAGATACATCATTGTTTGAGCTCACAGTGTTCTCTGGATGTAGGTGAACTACAGCTCCCAAACTCAACGTCAATGCCCACCAAACCCTTCCAGTATTTTATGTTGGTAATGAGAGTTATGTGTGCCAAGTCCGGTTCAATTGCATTGTTGGTGGAGTTCAGAATGCTCTTTGAATTTAAATGAACCATAAATCCCAGCAACTACAACTTCCAAATGACAAAATCAATCTCCTCCCCAACCCCACTAGTATTTAAATTTGGGCTTATTGGGTATTTGTGCCAAATTTGGTTCAGCGAATGAAAATACATCCTACATATCAGATATTTACATTATGATCCATAACAGTAGCAAAATTACAGTTATGAAGTAGCAACGAAAATAATGTTATGGTTGGGGGTCACCACAACATAAGGACTGGATTAAGGGGTTGTGGCATTAGGAAGGTTGAGAAACACTACCAGTTTTAAAAATATGCATTTTCCCCAACTCCACCCCTTGATCTGTCACTTGTCGTTGCAGGCCTTTAAGCCATTTCTGATTTATGGCACCCCTACATGGGATTTTCTTGGCACAATTTGTTCAGTGGAAGTTTACCTGCGTTTCCTTTGAGGCTGAGAAGGTGTGACTTGCTCAAAGTCACCCTGTGGGTTTCTATGACCAAGAAGAAATTCAAACTCTGGTCTCCAGTAATTATTATAATTGAATAAAATTTATTTATTTATTTAAAACATTTCTATTCTGGCCTCCTCACCCCGAAGGGGACTCAGGGCAGAGCACAGCATATACATGGCAAACATTCAGTGCCGGGACACAGATTCACATACCATACATCAGTGTTTCTCAACCTGGGGGTCGGGACCCCTGGGGGAGTCGCGAGGGGGTGTCAGAGGGGTCGCCAAAGACCATTAGAAAACACAGCATATTCTGTTGGTCATGGGGGTTTGGTGTGGGAAGTTTGGCTGAATTGTATCATTGGTGGGCTTCAGAATGCTCTTTGATTGTAGGTTAACTATAAATTCCAGCAACTACAACTCCCTAATGTCAAGGTCTATTTTCCCCAAACTCTACCAATGTTCACATTTGGGCATATTGAGTATTCATGCCAAGTTTGGTCCAGATACATCATTGTTTGAGCTCACAGTGTTCTCTGGATGTAGGTGAACTACAGCTCCCAAACTCAACGTCAATGCCCACCAAACCCTTCCAGTATTTTATGTTGGTAATGAGAGTTATGTGTGCCAAGTCCGGTTCAGTTGCATTGTTGGTGAAGTTCAGAATGCTCTTTGAATTTAAATGAACCATAAATCCCAGAAATTACAACTTCCAAATGACAAAATCAATCTCCTCCCCAACCCCACCAGTATTTAAATTTGGGCTTATTGGGTATTTGTGCCAAATTTGGTCCAGCGAATGAAAATACATCCTACATATCAGATATTTACATTATGATCCATAACATTAGCAAAATTGTAGTTATGAAGTCGCAACAAAAATAATATTGTGGTTGGGGGTCATCGCAACATGAGGAACTGCATTAAGGGGTCGCAGCATTAGGAAGGTTGAGAACCACTGCCATACATAAACATTAAAAAACATTTATCAAAATATTAAAATACACAAACCGTTCTAGTCAAATCTAATTGGCCTGCTCATCTTTCCTATTGCTGCTTTATTGCCCTGTCCCGAAAGCTTGGTCCCACAGCCACGTTTTTACCATCCTTCTAAAGGACAGGAGGGAGGGGGCCGGTCTGATCTCACCAGGAAGGGAGTTCCATAGCTAGGGAGCAATCACTGAGAAGGCCCTGTTTCTCGTTCCCACCAATCGTGCCTGTGACAACTGCGGGACGGAAAGCAGGGCCTCCCCGGAGGATCTTAATCTCCGCGATGGTTCATAGGGGGAGACAAATATAGACAAAGTTATGGGGTTTTTTTACAACATTATAAATAGATGCATAAACAGATGCTAAATTCTAGAGATTTCATATTGTATTGACTGCTACAGCAAATTGTGTGACAAGACACCACTGTCAAAATGTTATGTTTTCAATGATAAACATAACATTATCATTATTCTAATTCTAATTATAATTATTCTAATTCAGAGCAGAAATAGACATTTACAGTAAAGAAAGGGAAGGTGTCCATTGCAATTGGATGACAGTGGAAACTTTTTGTCTCTCATACACAAACACAACAACCCTTGAAGTTGTTGTTTTGTTGCTGCTGCTACTGTTTACCTAAAGCAATTCCTCCTCCATTCTTTCAACAAAACAGCTACCAAAGCAGCTTTCAGGTACTTGTGGTAACATTATTCTTGACTTCATGTTTACAATATAAAAACATGACAGAAAAAGAAGGAGACATTGGGAAGGGGAGGGGGGTGTTAAAGCAGTTCAGGCACCTGTTCTGAAATTACAATTTTTAAAGCTGCCATTTCAGATGGAAATAGTTTAATAATTTCCTATAGCCCGAAAAACTTACAACAACCCATATTCTAACTTGTTGCATAATGGTTTGAGTAGGAGCCCCCATGGCGCAATGCATTAAACCTTTGTGCCAGCAAGACTGAAGACCAACAGGTCAGGGGTTCGAATCCAGGGGGGAGTGGGTTGAGCTCCCTCTGTCAGCTCCAGCTCCCCATGTGGGGACATGAGAGAAGCCTCCCATAAGGATGGTAAAACATCAAAAACTTCTGGGCATCCCCTGGGCAACGTCCTTGCAGACGAACAATTCTCTCACACCAGAAGTGACTTGCAGTTTCTCAAGTCACTCCTGACATGAAAAAAATAGTTTGAGTGTTTGACTATGACTCCAGAGACCAGGATTCGAATCTCCACTTGGCCATGAAACCCACTGACGGACCTTGGACAAGTCACACTCTCCGAGATTCAGAGGATACCAAAGGCAAACCCCTCCGAACAAATCATGCCAAGAAAACTCCATGGATAGGTTTGTTTTAAGTCAGAAAAAACTTGAAGCCACACAACAACAAAGTACATAATTATCAGGGCAGTTTACAAAATGAAAAGTAGGGTGAAAATACAAAAAGTTGCAGCAAAATTATAGCAATAGCAATGGCTCTGTGTGCATTCACAGATCACGCGAAGCCATAGTTATGCTGAGCGAATTTGTTGCTCTAGCTCAGGCCTGTGCAAACTTGGGCTCTCCAGGGGATTTTGGACTTCAACTCCCACAATTCATAACAGCCTCAGGCCCTTTCCTTTTCCCCCTCAGCTATTTAAGTTGTTCGGAATTATGGGAGTTGAAGTCTAAAATACCTGGAGGGCCAAAGTTTACACAGGCCTGCTGTAACTATTAACTGTCCTGCAGATGACCAAATCACTACTGTTCATCCCCACTCCATCATCATTTTGGATCTGCTTATCTGTTCCCATTTTGGAGCAGGCAATTAGGCCTGCTCCAAAACCAAGAACCAAGCTATGGTTCTTGGTTCAGATGTCACAACAAGCTGTGGTTTAAATAAGATCAAGCTCATAAGCCAAGAACAAAGCTTGGCTGGTAATTGTTGCTGGTTAGCAAATCACATTAAGCTTGCTGAGATGAGGACTGTGATTAAAAAAAATAAGCTAGAACTGTAAAACTATGGTCACTATATTAGGCACTATGATCTTCCCTGAAGAAAGAATTCCACAGATGGGATGCCTTGAAAATAAAGGTCTCAGCATCCACCTCACTTTGGAGAAGGACACATGAAGATCTCAATGTACAAGACTATCATGCC